CGCGCCGTCACCACCAGATCATAGGCCGGCACGCTCTCGCGGTCCAGGGCGCCGTCCAGCACCAGCGAGTAGTAATTCTTGAAGGTGGACACCAACTTGAAGGGGGTGTTGGGTGTCAGAGTGCAGGTTACCTGCCCATTGTTGCCTGAGTCCAAGTCGGACACCCTGATCAAGGCGATAACAGTGCTAGGATGAGCGTCCTCTCTGATAGGCAGTGACAAAGAAGTGATGGTAAGTTCTGGGGCATTATCATTTATGTCTAGTACTTCCACCAGAACAGTACAATGACCGGCCATTGGAATATTCCCCTGGTCAACAGCCTCCACAAGTATTTCGTATAATTTCTTTTCTTCAAAATCCAGATTACCATATGTCCTAATTTCTCCATTAGTGAAATTTATGATAAATGCATATACGACTGTAGACAGTGCAGGCTTTTTGAATGAGTAGATTATGTCTCCATTTGAGCCATCATCAGGATCTGTGGCATTTAGCTTGATCACTAATGTTCCATTAAACGCGTTCTCGGGCAATCTGACTTTATAAACGGGTTGGTCAAATTCTGGCGCATTATCATTCACATCCAGCACTGAGATCAGTAGCTGAACTGTGCCCGTCAGCTCAGGCTTACCTCCATCACTGGCTGTTAAGAGCAAGCTATGTTCCTGGATTTCCTCTCTATCTAATGATTTTTTCAGCACAAGTGATAATGAAGATGTTTGCTCACGGTTGTTTTGTGTGTCCAAAGCGAAAAAGTCATTGGAATTGAGTCGGTAGGTCAACGCTGAGTTTACTCCAATATCTGCATCGGATGCGCCATCTAGTGGAAACCGAGTTTCCGGCGGTCTGGATTCCGCAATGCTTATTCTTGTTTTACTTTCAGGAAACACCGGTGCGTTGTCGTTAATATCCTTCACCTCCACCTCCACGTGGAAGACCTGCAGCGGCTTGTCCACGATCACCTCCAGGTGGATGCTGCACCCCGCGCTTCGCCCGCACAGCTC